GATAAGGACGCCTGAAAACTTAGCTGAGGTGGGTTCAGGGAAAACTCTGTGGGGGAGTTTAGGCGACGGATCACTCACTTGTTGCTCGTTCCGTCGAGTTTATGCGGCAGGCTCCACAATACACTGGTTTACAAGGGCCGGACGGGTTTGCAAAAACGGTGTGATTATGAGGTCAATATCGATGGCTTCATGCGGGTTTGTCTTGGGCTGAAGGCTCGGGATCTCTAGGATATGTGGCACTTAGCCTTGGAACGTTGCGGCTTTCACTTTCTCGTGTGCCGCTCCTGCGGGTCCCCTGTAAGCTACGCTCGCGCCGGAGTGCGTCACCATGAACCCAACTAATTAATGAGATCTCAGACCCAAAATCCGAAGCGATGGCGGCTGGATACAAGGTTGCTCCCGTTGCCTGCAAATGGCTGCGAACAGCCACCCAACCCTCGATGTACGATCCTGCACGTGTTGCTGCGTCAAAGAAACTTCTCCGAAGTGCCCAAAGAAATCAAAGTCGGTGCCGGCAACGGGTTGGTGCCGTAGTTTACTGTGACGCCTGCTGCAGATTCAGCTCTCCCAGGCTGGTTGGAGCGGTTTGATCAGTGGCCTCCAGGACCCTGAAGTTGACCTTAGACCCTAATTACACGGCCCTAGCTTTTTCTGGAAACCTCCAACCAAGATGGGAAAGGAAGCTGTCCGCGTGGTGTCGTTTGCTTCGAGTCTTTCGCTGCAACGAGAAACCACAGGTCTGACTCCGCACAGCTGACACTAAGTAGGGTTTAGGGTTTAAGGTTTTCGGGTCTTCCAAGACCTTGCAAAGCTTTGTAGGGCTTTCCCCTGTAGGTGCATCACGGTTGCAACCGGTTTCTTGTATGGGTGCTGTACTAATTCGAACAACGGTTATGGTGTGTATGTACAGTGGTGCAGTTCTTCTGTTTCATATTATGATTCAGACTTCTTTACGAGCGTAGTTCTACAGAGTGTTTGTTTCCACTCACAACTCGTACCGCTGATCCAGCACCTGTTTGCTACCAGGACCCTATTATGATGTCTGCAGAAGCAGACGCCAGAACAGCACAACAAACTGGCGAGGAACAAACGCCAACTTGTTTGATTGAACAAACGGAGCGTGTATATTAAAATCCTACACCCTAAACCGTCACAGTAGTGCAGACTGGAAGTCGAGCTGGGTTGGTGTCTTCATAGCTTCTTGGACCATGGGAAATTCTCTCGGTCTCTATTGAATCGCAGTACTTGGGCTAATGCCAGCTTTGGTGGAACAGACCATGAAGAGCAAGCTAGGGCTTCCCGATGCCAAGTGTGGGGGTGTTTCAACCTTGGGCCATCCTAACTATCGGAAATATTTATTCCCAGGTTGAATACCACCCTAAACCCTGAGCCCTAAACCACAAACCCTAAAGGCCCTAAAGTTGAGCACGCCCCATATTTCAACCGCTGCGCGCCGGGCACGCGCGAAGTATATTTCCTGGAGGCCCTCTGAGGGGCCAGGGCTTTGGGCCAATCTCCAATCTCTAAAGATTGGGGTTTGGATTTCAGGGTTTAGGTCGAGGTTTAGGGGTTTAGGATTTAGGGAACCCCTAAGAACCCAGAATTTTGAAACCGAACGGCCCAAACACAGAGCCCTCAGAAGGGGTCCCGAAGCTTCTGGGACCCCTTGGGCGCTCCGCAGAAAGGACGCGGCGGCTGAGCGCTGGAGAGTTCTTTTTTGGACGCCTCAAAACTTGTGAGGCATCTGTAAAAAGGTGTTAAAAGCACCATGCATTATGGAAGGATGTATATGGGTGGGCGATACTAAGCAGATTCACTCAGGCGAAAGAGCCTGCAAGAGGGATCTGGGTTTGGCAATTACGGTTTTCAGGCTTGGAAGTACAAGGTCCATCTATAACTATAGCTTCCTACCGAAGGTTGAAGCTATCGGCCAATCTCAGGATCAGAGATTTAGTGAATTATGGTATGGTAGCTTCAGGGGGCTTAAACTCCACACAGCCGGCCGCGCTCGTGGTCACAAGAAATGCTGCGAGCTCTGCACGCCACCCTCGCCTCCAATCTTCATTGCTTGGGGCTTGCAAATACTCAGTTGCTCAGCTCACAAGATCCCAAAAGTTTAAACTTTCAGTTCGATAAGCGTTGATGTATCACCAAAATACGCAAGTTTGTACTCACTGGAAAATTTAGGAATTTAGGAAGGGCTCGTTGACTTCATGGCATATCTCCCCTCAGAGTCGACTGCCACCTGTAAGAATGGGATATACTGCCACCGCCGTCTTTCCTCGGGTTCTACCTGCGCTATGCCTCGAGCCCTCCAGAAGCACATACGAAGCCGAACCCTAAAGCCCTAAACCTTTTTGCAGCCTAGGCTCCAATCCAAGGTTGAGTAGCTGCGGGACGAAACTGTTGACACACCGTTCAGAGGTCTCTGGGCTGCAATTAGAGCCCCTGCAATCAGTATTTTTAAGGCGTGGGGTTTTCTGAAAACTGCATTGCAGAGCCAAGAAGTCCTGGCTCAGGAAATTACGTCGTGGTGTTGATGACCGGCATCACCTGATCACGCCATGGGGTGCTATAAGAGGATTACTATCAGTGTCACCATAACGGCTTTCGAGGAGCCTGGTCGGGTTCAGAGTATGTGGGTCTGCGAATTTTAAGTGTCATGCCTAAATCCCACACTGGACACCATGTGGAGTGAAGCAAAGAAGCTCGTTGTCCCTGAACCAGGGAATCCTCTGTAAGTCGTATCATAGGTTTCGTTGGGTGAGGGCCTTAGCAATTAGAGTAGGGCTTCGGGCTCCTTTATAGTATACCCATCACAAGGAACCCTAAGGAATAGCATTGGTGATTATTTAGGGCTTCTATTGGGATAACTACGGCTTTCGGGGAACTGCCACTTGCCGGCTTTCCATTGCCAAGCTACTGACCCACCCAGGGTTGCGTAGGGTTTAGAGTTTGGGGTTTAGTTTTTTTGTAGTATACACCCCTTCACTTCGAAGCCTGGCGCCTTGAACAATGAGCCGTGAAACTTCAAACTTGGAAGAAACGTATCGTGCCCAAAAAGGCTCACATATCAGTTTATCAAATGGGGGGCGTATGAAATAAGGACATACCACACACCGCAAATGAACAGGGTTTACGCTCTCACAACTCGGACAAGTCAGGTGAGGTTCATGGTACGAGGTCGGCGTGAGACTAAGCATGACATCCCATCTTTGCAGCGACAACAGCAAAATAACCAAATCTAGGAACCAATCCCCGCTAAAACCGGCAAAGACCAGATCATGAATAGGGCTTAGGGTTTCGGGAAACTTGGGCTTCAGGCTCGTGGGCTCAGTTTCGAAGGCTTCAGTTTTGGGGATCGGAGGGTCTCCTCTCACATAGAGGATGTCACTCGCAGGCTGGAGGGCTTAATCCTAACATGGGTCAATGAATAGAATCTTTTCTAGCATAGATATATAGGGACAATGAGGGGACATAACCACTAACGTGATCCCAATCGTGGACCAGGACACTTTCCTAAGCTCCAAACTTCAAATTACCTGACCAAGTACCACTCCCAGAGCCTGTGCCATCTCATATCAGGATCATCGGGGTCATGAGAATTCGCGTCCAGAGTGTGGCGACTTCGTTCGTGTTTCGAAAAGCTTCGGTGTTCCAGGAAACAGAGCCGGATCTTACACTACGGAATCTCCAACTGAAACTATAGCTCCTGTGGAAAGACTAAACTAAACTCCATACAGCTCCCGAGAAAAGAACCGTGACTCCCGGGTCTGGATCTTATTCCCAGTGGCTGCCGCCGACAGCCGACGGGCAAAGCCCGAGCTAGCTCGTTCCTGTGGCCTGCAGGGTTCGAGGTCTCTGGGCTTAGGGTGTAATGGTTATGGTTCAGGATCTATTGGTTTGGGGCACGGTCTGATCATGGTCCAATGGTTCATGTCTAAATATGTCTAAGGCTTAAGGTGTGCGTGAAGTTATAAAGGTTCAAGATATAGTGCTTGCAGTTGTGTGTGACATCATCTTTACTGCTTATGGATAGCTAGCGGTAGGGCAATACGTAGTGTCAGCATTTCTATCTTTAGATTCTTGCTTCCATTGAGTCTGCTGTTCACGTGTCGTTCGAAGTTCGAACCGGAGCCTTCTGTGGATAGAGTCCGGTTTAGGGTTTAGGGTTCGGATAGAGGGTGTAGGAACTTGTGCTGTCCTTTTCCGGCGGTGATTACAAGAATCGGAGCCGGGGCCCCAATAAAGTATCGGGGCCTTGATCATTGGAGCAGGGTTTTGCGGGGTTTTGGGGTACAAAATAGTATAGTTACGAGAGTTCTAAATTCTAGTGGATACGATTACGATTTATTGCGGTCTAAGGGTCCCAATGAGCGCTCTTTTTGTAGCAGCCCTCAGGCTACGATGGCTACCACGACACATCCCAAAGCAGAACAGCACGTGCAAGGAGAGTTCGTCTGCGGCAAATCAAGCCATGTTTGTGCCACACATGGACGAAACGCGGACCCTAGACGAACCACCTCAAGCTCCAAACCTGCACTCTAACCGCACCATAAACCCAAACCTCGCCTTTGCAGCATGCTTGCTTTTTCTTTTCTTCCATCTTCAACGACGACTTACGACTAGTTTCCATGAGTCAAGGCCCTAGGGCTCGAATTTTTGAACCTTTTCGCGACGTGGACTAGCTGCCAACTATTCCTGAACCTTGAATGCTTAGGCTTAAGGTTTTAGATCCCTGAAAGCCTAAAGCCGGGGCCCACAAGAATCAGAAACGGATGTATTTTTGGGGTATGTTACCGTCTACTTCGGTTGGAGCTAGAAGGGGTACCCACTACTAGCTATCCCGACCTCTCCGTCAAACCCTAATCCCACCGAAAAAGCGACCCGTTCGGGCTTTTTGGGTTAACCTTTATAGAACCCTTAAAGCATTGAGGGCTCCTTGGGTCCACCCTTAAAGGGACCCAGAGCTCCAATGGCAGCACTTCGAGCCAAGGGGCGGCTTCTCTTTGCCGGTGATCGGGGAGTTTCGCTTCTTCAGCTCGTCAAAGACATAGGATAGATCCCTCAGGCGCAGAAAGAATCGGAACTGACGGCTTTCGCTGAATGGCTCGCTCTAGCAGTACTGCAGCAGTAGAAGCAACAGGATCAGTACTGAGCTGTTGCGGGAACTATTTCGTGACGGAGCATTCCTCTAGGTGCAGCTTTCTGATTACAGCAACCCTAAACCCCTAAACCCTAAACCCTAAACCTGTCCCTGCAGGGTCGTTCAGTGGCTCGGTGAGAGGCTTCAGCGCCTCGAACGCCTCACGAAGTATCTTAGAATTCTTAGAACCCGGCTCTTCCGAAGCCGGGCATTGGGATTTCGGGTCTCGGGCTTTGGTGGATAGGTGACGTCTGGAATCCAGAGGCTCCATAGTAGTTCCTTTTTGTGGCTTAGGAATTTAGAGCCCGAGGCCTAAATCACAGAGAGGGGTCATCGAGTTTCAGGGCCTTCTGCTTCCAAGAGGCTCTGCCGAAAGGATGTCGGACAACTCGTTCGTGTGTTGGCTGTTCAGCCACATGGTAAACTCCTGGCCGTCGATGTCTCTGGTTTGCAGGTCAGACGTAAGAACCTATATAGGAAATCCTATAGTCGACGGACCGATGCCATCAACTGGCCAATTTGGATCCCATCCTTGCAAAAGTGCGAAAACCTACACCTAGACACTTGTGGTTCAGGGGCGCATGAACAATTAATTGGTGCATATTGCGATAAAGACCGAGCCAGTACGGTTTTAGGTACTGAAGCCCCGGACCATAAGAATAGAAAATCATCAGAAGGCAAAGCAATATCTCTCCCCCTCTACCTGGTCGGGCACTCTGCTTCCTAATCTCAGTGCCGCCTGTGCGTACCCTGCCACAGCATTCCACGCCGGGGGATTCGACGAGAGGGCTTTTGCCACCTGTGCCAAGAAGCATGATTGATAAGAAGCTGGTATACCTTTCAGCACCATACCCTATCTGCAGCCCTACTCACCCCATAACCGAAACCGCCACAGACCCGAAACGCTGAAGGGGACCGAAAAACTGCAGTGGAAAGCCGCTCCACCCCATTTCTCGCATGTGAACGACTCAATCTATGCTGCTGTTGATTTTCGCAGTCTTCCAGCTGCTTGCAAATTTCATTCATTTCCGTTCCCTGGAAGCCCCGAGCCCAAAGTCGCAGAAGGGAAGCTGTAATGCTTGAAACAGGAGTTTGGGGTACGTACAGTATTACGTATACTGTAACTATGTAGGGGCTACAATGGGATAGTACTACTACCACTCAGACCGACTGCCTCAGCTGGATCCAAAGCCATCCTGGGCGAAGTGTGGCTTCCTTTTAGGAAAGATCTTTGCCTGCGGGTTCAGCACAACCACCGAAAACATAAGAACTGCGTAGTAGTATAGCCACCATAGGCTCAAATCCGAAGTCGCCCATCAAGACCTACAACCGTGGGCAGACGCGATTGAGGCTTTTCGGCAGTTGCTGCTTCAGGGTTCGGAGTTTGACGCGGAGCCAAGAGTTGGAAGGGGCATTTGGGATACATTCGACAATACTCTCCGGCTTTATAAAGTGAAGGCCAGAAAGTTGGACAACATTTTCCCAATGCCCTTCCGGCCTTATTTTGCCCCATCACAGCATTAATGATCCTAAATCCCCAGGTTCCTACAGGGAGCCAGATGACGGACTACAAAGACGAATGCAGAAGAGGGCTTCGGGCTTAAGTGTTTACGGACTTGTAACCCCAAACCTGTGCACATTTCTACAAGCTATAGGATGACGGGCCGGACAGAAGCAGCCTTCAAAGTCCATCGGGTAGAGTCTGGATTTATCTAAGCCCTTGGCGTTCAAGTTCTTTGTCCGTGTGCTCTATGGCTCTCGGGCTTAGATTTAGGGCCAAGGGATTGCGGACTTGACTGGCTTAGCTGCTGGGGCTCAACCGAAAAAGCCGAACAGCAACTAAAGCTTCAAACCATTGCGGAACACCAAATCGAAGTGCTTCTTCAAGTGCCCCGTTGGCCAAAGCCCAACTATTTGTCCTACACCAAATGTGAACAATTCTTAACCCAAACACCAAACAAAGTAGAACATGACCCCCACACCCTAAACTTCCTTGCTGCTTCGAAACCCGATCTGGGTTGGCCTTATGTAGGGTTCATATGTAGAATGTATAGGCAGGAATGTATGTATGCGTGTATGCATGCATGGATGCACGGATGGACAGATGGACGGACGGACGGGCGCATGGATGCATCTGTACGTGTGGGTTTACTATCTGTACATATATATATATATTTATTTATATGCGTGTGTATATATATATATATACGCTTATCTATATATATATATAGACACACACACACACACACGCATACACCCATCCCATCTGCTTACAAGCTCAGCTGAAAGGACCTGTACTGTAGCGCCAAGCGGCATATCCGACTCCGATACTGCTTGAAAGGAGCCGAGATGAACCCAGTCATCTTAGTTGCCGGCACCAGTCGGAAGGTGCAACTCTGTCGTTTCGGTTAAGGGCCTAGGGGACAGGGTAACATACAGGTCTTCATAATCCCAATTAATTCAGAGTAATTCAGAGTAGGGTTTTGGGGTAGACTGTACTCGCCTAAGGCCGGGGCCTTCTTAGTCAAGCCCTTACGGTACATCCAGCCCCGTTTTGGAAATAATGACACAAACTGTAGAATGCTACGCTTAAGCTGTGCTCCAAAAGTCTGTGGCCCGAATCTGGGACGCTGGGCCTCAGACCCAAAACTTACAAAGTTCAGGGTTTGGGGCTTAAGAACGAAAATCCAAAGCCGTCCAGCGAGAAGACATCACACAGGATTCGTGCACGTGGGTCTGCTGTCAAACCAGGCAGCTAACCAAGTCTTGCCCATCTACGGTTCAGCACCAACAACAAAGTACCTTTGACAATCGACTCCCAGCATCATGATGCCTCAGATTCTAACCTCAAAAGCCTCAAGTCGCACATCTACAGCCCCAACCCCCCACATCCGCGCTAAACCCGATGCCTAAACCCACAATTTCAATATTCGAAGGCCTGCCCTAGCGGCTGAACCCCAACATCTCAAAACCCTAAACTCTACACTTGCATGAGTCCTGAGGCTCCCGTAGCCAGGCCGCTCGCCCAAAGAACTTGCTCTCCGACCCATTGCTGGTTCCGATCGATCTCGCAGGGAGCAGAGCAGGGCCCCTACAAAAAAGCATACTTTCACTAACAAAAGCCCCTCCACCCCTTTTCTCCCGTTTTTATGTTAGGCGGTAGTAGTGGCTATATGGGTGCCCTCCTGGAAGCGCCCTCAGACCTGAAGCCTGAAGCCTGAAATTTCAGTGTCGTGAGGCGAAAGCCAGAAGGACCTGCCCCTAAATGCAAGCAGTTATGCCATAGAGCACTAATATACATCGAAGATTATGAGGATTTGGAACTTCGACTAGGGCTTTTCCCCCAAGGTTGGGTCACCTAAACCCTAAACCCCCTAAACCCCTAGACCCTAAATAAGCCCCTAAACCCCTAGGCCCTTTTTTTTTGAACGAGGTCTCTCTCCCTAAACCCTAAAACCCTAGACCCTAAACCCTATAAACCCCTGTTCGAGCTGAGGGCTGACGCCGGGCTCAGGATTGATGGCATAACTCAACCCGGCTTTTAACCATAAACCCTTTAAGGAACCCTTTGTCCCAAGGAGAAATGGACGTCAAATTGACACGTGGCAGCGGGCGATGGAAGGAGTAGATCGTTACATACAACTTACATAGTCCGCACTGACAAAGCCCTGTTTGTGACACCGCCATCGCCACTTCTCGCCGAACCATCCTTCAGAATGGTATGCTACACTGAACGGCCCCAAGAAACCGACCCCCAACTTTGTCAGAAGAGTGCGAAAAGAGAGTTATAAGAGCTCAGCAAGCTTAAAACTTGGCTACTTAAACAGAGCCCCGTATAAACTCACCCTCCGACATTCAACCTAGTTTCTTCGGTGCCTCGACTGCCACAGCGACCGCAACTCTGGGTGGATGCTGGGTGTAGGTCTGGTTTCCGGAGACGGTGAAGTACCTGGGCAGCTTCTAGAAGCTCTCGGACTTGATCTCTTTAGCGCTTTTGGGTTCAGGGTTTAGGGCTTCGGGGTAGACGCTTCACTCCCAAGTAGCCTCCCAAGACAGCCCTGATGGTGCAGGAGAAGTTGTCATTAGGCACCCAGCGCTTCTTATGGCTAGGGGGACTCAAGCTATGAGCACTGGAAGATTACCAACAATGTTCATACGATTCCTGACCGTGCTGATTCTGGCACAGAGTGACGGTCGCTGTGGATATAAACCTTTTACAACTTGTCGGCCCCTCCCGAAAGCCTTGCACTCGGAAGCCCCAAAACTGTAGCAATCTCCAGCATCACGCACCACACAATCCAAGTGGCGCATGTGTTGCCACTTCGGCCGAGTAGAAATGGATGTCCCCACGTGCCAGGAACTTGTGCCTCAGTGCGGTGGTGCGAAGTCCAAGGCCATTGAGAAGGAGCCGGCTCTAAGCTGTTTAAGAAACTGCCGTCACGATGAGGACGACAGAAAGAGCAAACTCCCCAGCTGTCTTTCCTGCCCTGGTGCTAACTCTTCTTCTCGAGGGCGAAGTAATACTAAGGTACCCGAAGGTACTGCCGCTTTGCCAACACCCCCAAACCCCCCAATCAAGTTAAACCAAACACCCCAACACCCATGCTGATTAGTATGCAGAAGAGATGACAGGATGAACCAACCAGGAGAACCGTGTGTCATGCAACCTGCTGTGGGGGTCTGCAGGGGTCAACAGCAGAATGAAAGCTTCGGGTACGCTAGCTTCGAATACGCTCTCCAGGTGAGCACAACACGGGTGGTGGTTTGTCTTAGAACCACAAGTAAAGCTCTTGAAGCTGTTGAAAACCTCCTCGTCACCACGGTGCTTTCTGTCTGCTTTCTCTGCTTGAATTTTTCCACAAAGAACTTGATATAGAGATCTTGAAAATTACCTAGACTATTCTCGGGGATCGGTATTACAGTTATAGAAAAACGTACCCTAAACCCCCTATGTTACTGCTAGATGGGCGGAAGTTCAACAGGGTGGTTTTTTGACCTCGAACCGATTGTTCACAGCACACACTCTGATCAGTAGAATCCACCTTTACCCCTCGGGTCCGTATTGTCGGGCGCTACACGCACGGCCTAATACAGGGGCCGGAATAATGAGAACAAGAATTTGGGGTATATTATACGATAATGATACTATGGAGCCTAATGAAGACTAGTATTGGTATTTATTTCGGGCCCCTATATTACACCTTCAATTCGTGACTGCCAGGGTGCTGTATGGCGTGCGTGACCAGACGGCGGAGGGTGACTTCCTGGCAGGGGCGGGTCCGTTTATGAAGGATTCTACTGTGAAGCCCTGAAAAATGCATATGGATTAGGGATACACTGGAAGTCCAAAAGTTGGAAACCCAATAGCCTCAATCCTTAAGAGTAATGTATAAGGAATCCCAGCACCATTTGTCCTTAATCCGGTTTCCAACTTTTTGGGGTTTACCATAGTTCTAGGAAGAGTTAAAGTTGAAGCTTAATCGCTGCGGGCTCAACAATTAAGGGCATCCTGGCAAAGTCTTACTCGTCTGGCGGCCTTGAGAGTGAGATCTTTTGTGTAAGAAAGCCGACATACAATACAGAACATGCTTTTCCTCATAATGGCAAACTTCTTGGAACCCAGAAGAAGCATCCAAACCTGCTCTTTCTGCAGGAATGAGAAGAGAGGGTGGACGACCATGGTCGGCATATCAACAGCACCTGGCGCGGTTTAAGCTCGGCCCATCTTGATTTCCCCAGAATCCTACCGCTCGGCAATCATGTGGAGTTTGGCTCCACCTGCCTGAAGCTGCAAAACTCTCAAGCCGACAATAGGCAAAGAAGCACGGGACACCTCACCAAATGCTCCGAATCGACCATCTCAGAGCCACAGAAATGTTCAGGCTTATGAAACTCGGTTCTGGTGCGGAGGGTCCAGAACTAAAGATCAAGCAGGCAGGCCGAGTTTGAAAGGATTCGTACATGATGGAGTTTGGGGTACAGGGGGTAGCGATCAGAAGTAGTAGCACGCTTACCGTAAGGCAACTTCGACAAAAGCCTATGACACCAAAGAGAACCACAGAACTCATCGACTTATCGCTCGATGGTCTGGTTGAGGAAACTAAGGTGCGCGTCTTGGAGAGTTCTTACAACATGCTCCGAAGATTCTAAAAAAAGCGGTCTTGATATTTTCTGAACCTCATACAGACAGCTCTTTGCTGCGCCGTGCAGCCAAGTGTTGTTATGGGGGACGGTGGCGGCCGGCGGTAACTACTGCCGACAGTGCCAGCGACGGAGATGTAGCTGATGACTGGTGAGCAGTCCCCGCCGAAGGAGCAGCAACAATAGCAGAAGCAGGAGCGCAGCAGCAGCGGTCGGCCGACTTTGTCGTCACTCTGTTGTTTCTACTTTGCTTCGTAGCGGCAGCCGCTAGACTTCACTTATGTATCTGTATCTAGCTTTTGCACTGCTGCAACACCTTCGTAGTCGGATCCAGCCCTGCGCACAAGTCATCGCCAAAAGCTGAAAGATCCGCGACTTTTCGTCGAACAGCACAACTGAACCCCAGTGCGGTGACCCCAAGCAACACTCCCCAAGCCTATCAGTCTTGAAACCACCGGGTTAATTAGATGGTGGTTGTTATACAGGTGATGCTTTTTGTAAACAAGTTGTGCCATCCTGGTAGTCACAAGGTGCTCAAGGCGTTCGGCTGCTCTTCAACTTATCAACACACCCTAAACCTGAAACTCTAAATCCGAAGCCCCATACCCCAACATCCTCAAGACTAACCCTCAGAGGCACACAGCAGCTCATCCCGGAGTGGCTCCGACAGTAGCTCGACGAACCTGTGTCGAAGGGAAGGGCTTCAGCTGCAAGAGGCCCTTCGTAGGTAAGCTACACTCTTCGACTGCCATTGGTTGAGGATTCACATTGAACCAGTAAGCTTGAACCTTAAAGCCCAAGACCCTTTCCCTAAACCCTTTCACCCTCAACCCC